TGTGAAGTTGGTCATACTGGGTGAGAACGCTACTTCCACTCTCCCCCGTTCCAGTTCGGACAGCGGCCGGTTCCCGCTGTATTGGTGTGTGTGTGTGTGGACACATGGCGTCGAGTTTTKKWWTTSTTCTTGTTTTTACCGTTCGTAAAAAGCGCATGGCAGTTCAGCATTTTTATTATATAATATTTATATCATATCAGAGGTACCGGAGCGGTATTGTATTTTTTTTTTTTTTTTAATATTTTGTTTCCGTTCTCGAGATAGTGTTGGTTGTTATTACAAAAGGTGCGCGAAAATGATTTCCGCGATCGTCGTTCCGTACGCGCGCGTTTATTCGAAAACAAAAATGTGATCCAATTTACGAGAACTGTACATGAAGCGAACAGCAGTGCGTCGTCATCGGTCCTCTCGCCGCTGCGGCCTCGTTCGTGCGGCGCGTAAACAACTCCGCCGGATAACAACCGCCACACGGAGGGCCACTTTACCCCTTCGTCGTTTTGATATTTAATACACCTCTCCTCCATCGATCGATCGRCGATCGTGTTAGAACGTGAGTGTTGTCGGCGTACATAATATTACAATTATTACATTACACACAGGTACGCGTATCGTCGTTCGTCCGCGGTCATTTCGTTTTTTTTTCCTTTATTACGATTTCGATTTACTTTCAGATTCAATAATTCTGTCCGTGCTCAGCGAACTTTTCGTCTTTGGGCCTCGCACGCTATTTGGTGAATTTGTGACGACGGAGATTATGACTAAAATACACCGCCGACGACTTCGGTCGAATACATCGATACACGTACTTTGTAATAATAACATCGTAGGTAGTTTAAGACATAAGTAGCGATGACTGATGACTCGTAATGAAACTGAACAATTCCGCGTTCTTCGGTGTCATATCTGTCGTTTTCTAAAGCGGCGGTGTTAGGTTAGGTTTTCAGAGTCCGTTTAGCCGTATACGAATATTATTTTTTCGTTGTTTATAATCAAACAAATCTTATCAACGCACCGCGGACGACAAACTGCTATTCTCGACGGAGCACAAATGTTAATCAGACGACCGATGACGATTAACCATATTCTATTTCATTTCTAATGAACCGACGGCTGATTACATTATAATTAAATGTTCAACATTGTTTCAATGTTTTCCATGCTCGATTCTCCCGAGATTGCTCAGCATCCGAGTTGGGTCCCGAATTATTTTGGGTACTATACGTCTACACTAGTTGGATCCCGGAATTTTATAGTTACTACACTAGTTGGGTCCTGAATTATTTTAGCTACAACGTTAGTTCTTGAATAATTTTTGGTAAGTACTACACTATACTAACCTTTTCCTTCCCATTTTAACAGACTTTGGACTGTCTATAATCTATTTAGACCACAGGTATGGTTAAAAATGTATTTTACAGTTTTATTTTTTTGTTTTCCTTTTTGTCCGTTAAAATATAAGTTATTATAATTTCTATAAAAAATAAATCACTTTTGTGTTGATAGAAATATTAAAAACAAAGTATAAAAATACCTCGAAAAATACATATTATATAATATAAATATAGCCATATAGGTGTAAGTGAATAAATATTAACCTATTATACCTATTATATGGCTATATTTAAATTAAATAATATGTATTTTTATACTTGGTTTTTAACATTTTAATATTTAGAAAAAAGAACTGTAAAAAACATTTTTAACCATACCTGTGGTCTAAATATATCATAGACAGCCTGTTAAAATGGGAATGAAAATGTTAGTATAGTGTAGTACTTACCAAAAACTATTCAGGAACTAGTGGAATACCTAAAATAATTCGGGGGCCAACTAGTATAATACCTGTGATTAGCCCCTAGTATTTGGGACCCAACTCGGTTGCGCCGGAGCAATTCTGGTTGGTTAGGCGTTTCGATAACTATTTTTTTTTTTTACTGATTCGGCTATAAACACTAATTTAGGTCAATATTATTAATCAAATACACTCACTTAGTAGGTATAAGCAGATCATTCCAGATGACGAATTTGTTGTTATTTGTTTGTAATATTGCTGACTTACTATTAGATTTTTTGGTTTTCAACAAACGTTGAATTACACGTTTTGATATCCACCCAAATTTAAACAATCTAAAATCTAGTAAAAAATAATAGAATTATTAAACAATTTTTTTTTTAWGTATTTATATTCAAAATATAAATTAAACTATTCAATATATAAATTAAGCGTAAAATTTTGAAATTGTTTAAACAAATAATTTTATATAGGTACTCACATAATTTATTTGTCAATATTAACTTGAACTAGATATATTATGTTTAAATTTATATTAGTCATAACTTAAATAAATAACAAATACTTTATAATATTCGTGGTTTTAAAATTTTTGAAAAATTGCCTAACTTTAAGCCTTTAACTAGCTGGATTTGAAAGTATATGCATTTATTCTGTACTGAAATAAAGTTTTTTTAAATTGTAATACTTTTTGTATTAAATAAAAAAGTAACATTTACGAATTTTACTATAAAAAAAAAAAAAAACAGTTACAATAAGTAAATAGGTAAACATAATATTATATTGGGCATGGTTACATATTATAGAAGGTAAGCTATCCAGTGAAAGGATCCTTTTCGATGTATTTCAGCAAGATTTTACAAGACCTTATTTTAAATGTAAAGGTCTCGGCACCAACATCTTTTAAGGTGACGAGTTAGGTTGTCGGATATCGTRACTATATATTGTCGATCAATTAGTAGATTATGTTGCAAAAGTAATTATGAGTAGAACTTTTTATAGTGTGTTTTAATTAAATTTTCAAACGATTCGATGTCTAGGTCTTAATGTAGGGTAAGATTTGAGACATACCAAGGAGCRTATTGGTAAGGTTAGGTATACATTGTCAATTAATATTACAATTTAATACTAATACCTAGCTATTATTATTATTACTATTATTAGCTGCAGTTGAATGATAAAATACTGTATCAAAAAATTATACCAGCAATTTTAATTCAGTCAGCTAACTATTCACTATAGATACTAAGTATATTTAAGGGATTACATATATCATGTTGTAGGTACCTTTTGTTTAAAAATTAATACGTTTTATATTGTTTATTTTCAGATTCATTTTCATTGGCTTAACTATTCAATGAAATGGCAGACACAGAAATTGAACAGATAACTGAAACTGATTTAAGTATGTAAATCTTAATTTAAACTAAATTTCTTTTAGTTAATCTAATCTTTGATACACACATCTATTTAAAATGTATATATACTTATGGTTACAGTTTAAATAGAAATGCCAGTCTACAGGAATTTATCTTTAAACACAAAAATAACTTAATTTTTGATTTTATATTTTGTTCTAGGTGTCAAATTAAATGGTAATATTCGTGCAAATACTGAACAACTTAAACAATCGATTGATTCCCGAAAAACCAATAAAATGATCGATAAGAATGAACTGAACAGGGCTTCTAGTTTAAATTCTGATAAAAGTTGTATAGAAAGTAGTAAATCTTTATCTAATTGTAGTAATGATGGTGAGGATGATTGCTGTGAAATAAATGATGATGATGATGACAGTGAAGATGAACACCAAATTAATAACACAAACTGTAAATCTGATAATAGTATTATCGAAGATGATCAGACTCTTGACAGTGAAAATGCAACCATGAATAGTGACGATTTGTGTGATCCAGAAAACAGTTATAATGGTACCAAAGAAATAAATATCAATGACAATGAAGAACAAATGGAAGTTGATGAACAAAAAACAGAAGATGATGAACAAATAGATGATGAAGATGAAGAAGATGAAGTAATTGATCAAAATGATACTGAAAGTAGGTCAAATGAAATAAAAAAATCATTAGAAGATTCTAGAATTAATCTCGATAAATCTGTGACTATTGTAAAAGTTCCAGATCCAAAGCAAAATTCAGGTAGTAGTGGTAAAAAAAAAATGAAAAGTTTTCCTGACATAACCTTAACTCCACGTAGAAGTTCACGGAATATTAACAAACTCAAAAGTTGTAGTGATAAAGACGAAGAAAAAAAAGATAGTGTAATAGTAGAGGACAATGCTAAAAATTTACCTCAGAAATCACCAATGATAACCAAACCAATTGTTGTTAATGACACTAAAAAATTGGTGGAAATTGCTGCTGGAACAAAACAAAAAAGTAATAAAAAAGAACCGACCTTAGTTATCATTGATACTAACATGTTAACAGGGCGAAGTAACCTACCTGTTGCAGTATCAGTGCAATCAAATACTTCAAGTAATTCAATGAATGTCACTCAAACAGTAAGTAAATCCATTCAAAATTCTTATAATCGAGTACAGCATTCGCAAACTACTATCAAGCCTTTCATATTAACTACTACACCAACTCCTGTTACAGTACCTACAAATGTTCCCAAACCTCCAATTATATTACCAACTCTAACTGATGATATGTTTGTTGTTGAAGCTCCATCTTTTATTGTGCCTTATGTTTATGAAAAGCCACCCAAAAAACCATTAAAAGAATTTGTTGAAAAAATTGTCAAAGTTAAAGTTACTAAAGATGAAGACGAAAGTAAAAGTGAAGAATCTTTAGATAAGAGAAACGAAATTAATCAGAAAGAAAAAATTAGTAAAAAATCAGAAACTAATGAAAAGATGGATGTTGATGAGTCAGAAAATGAGGTTTCTGGTTGTGAGAAAAAATYAGATGATAGTAAAGAAAATAGTTCTAAAACTAACGAAAATAATGATGAACAAATGTCAGTAGACGAATCAGAGAGTACTAAAAAGGACGATTCAAAATCCAAAAATTTGTCTGAGTCAACAGATTTAAAAAAAAGCGATAGCATTACCGATCTCACTGTTGACTCTGATGAAAAGAAAAATGAAGTTGTTAAACCAAAGATTCAAAGTCCGAACTACTTTGAAAATCCATTAGGCAAGTTTTTCATGCAAATAGGCGTAAACCTTGTTCAAGAGCATGTTCAACTCGATTTATTACGTACTCAGAGAAGAAAAAGAGATCGCGAAGGTGATAAATGCCCCGAAGAAGTTCATATGGCTATTAATTCTTTAATTAAAACTTTAGAGTTTAGTAAAGAGAATAATGATCCATTCCAATTTGGCTTAAAAAAATGCGAACTATGTAATTTTAAATCTGAATCAAGTTTAGTAATGGCTCATCATTTAGAGACTCCACACATGACAGCCAATTACTGCTATAGATGTAATTTTTGTACTTTCCAAGTACGCAGTCCTCATGAAATATTACAACATATGGATACTCATAATATAAGAGGGCGTTTAGAAAGAGGTCCAGCTTTACATCAATGTCCAAGTTGTCCATTTGAAGATAGTTATAAGGGTAAATTAACAAGACATTTGATTTCTTGTTCGAAAAAATATCGACCAGAAATAAATCAGGTACATATAATGTTCATTTTTATACTGAAATAATGTGTTATATAGTGATGTGGTGATAGTAACTATATTTGATTTATGTTATTTATTAATATTGTTTTCTTATAGGCACCTCCATTAGATTGGGAACCTCCAGCAAAAATACCTAGGGTGTTGCGAAATAAACCATCAATGAGTCCCGGTAATGCTGTTTACCAAGCAGCTATGTCTGGATTTAAACAATTTCCCAATCCTAATATGTTGCAATTACAACAACAACAATATAATAAAATGGTTCTTGCATCTGGTGTTAGAGCCCGTGGCCGTAATGTTTTACCAGGACAGCGGTTTCCAGGAATGGTGCCTTCTTTTCCAACCACACTGCCAAATCAAACTTCTGGAGGTTCGTCATTTATAAATTTAATCTTATTAAATAAAAAAAAATAGCCTTATAACTATCAATGCCTGCTATATTTATTTTATACCCTGTTCCACGATAGAACATGCCGTGCAAAGACAAAAACCAGTTGATTTTGTGCATCCCCCACCAAAATCTTWACTGATCAAATGTGATTGTAGCATTGTTKGTAGAATGGTGACTGTAATGCTACTGCTCAACTTTGCTAGCAGCCGATATCAACATGTGTTGAGGGGATTTCTTGGCCCGGTGGACTATTATAGTTCATTCTAAATGCACATGTTCTCTTGTCGGACAGAGTATATAAAAAAAAAAAATAGTTTGTTTTTGGTAGTAGTTACTAGGTACATATTATAAAATAACATTTAGAGTTAGAAAATAATTAAATATTTCAAATATTTTATTAGTTAACTATTAACTATAATTACTATCTATTGCAGATTGCAGTTTGATTCATTTTTATAAATTATATTTTTAATAAAAATGTATCATTAATTTTTTCACAGGAATTTTGCTTAAGAATACTAGTATTAAACCAATCAATCAACCAATTATTGTCCCTACACCTTATTCAATGAATAATCACACATATCAGGTAATTAATATTTGAATTATTTTACAAGTAAAAATTAAAGATTTAAAATAAAATAAGTTTTCAGTCTGATTGTATGATAGAGTTTTACTAAACATGATAAATTGGTTATTTCTGTATACAAATATTACTTTCAATTAATAAAGAAAACTTTTTATGTATTTATTTTTAGCAAAATTCAAATAGTAGTAAATCTGTTCAACAGCCAAGTATATCTATAACACCTCTGCCTAGATCATTTCCATCAAATAGCACACAGTCAGCTTTTGTATCTACCTTATCTAAATCTAAACCTCAACAAACTCAGTCGTCAWCCACTTCAACTAATAGTAGCAACAAACCAACTTTTGTAATTTGTGAAATATGTGATGGCTACATTAAAGACCTAGAACAATTGCGTAACCATATGCARTGGATACATAAAGTGAAAATTCATCCAAAGATGATTTATAATCGACCACCGCTTAACTGTCAAAAGTGTCAGTTTAGATTTTTTACTGATCAAGGTCTTGAAAGACATTTATTAGGATCACATGGTTTGGTCACATCTAGTATGCAAGAAGCTGCTAACAAAGGCAAAGATGGTGGAAGGTAATATCATTAATGTTTATAATTATCTATGTATTTATATTTTTTTAATTTCAAAATTAGATGTCCAGTATGTGGTAGAGTTTATCAATGGAAGTTATTAAACCATGTAAGCCGTGACCACTCTATATCATTAAAGCCAGCGCATTTATCTTACAAATGTACTGTTTGTACTGCAACATTTGGCATGTATAAACAGTTTGAAAACCATGTATATTCAGCACATAGTAATGTAGCTAAAAACTCTAGCAAGAAACCTCTCAGTAATCAACCTGTTGCTTCTTCATCTTCTTCATCAACTTCTATAACATCTTCACCAAAGGTAAATAATTAAATATATRTAAATATACTTTTGTTKATTTTAATTGTTTCTTTTTTATTAGCCATTAAAAATAAACGATGAAATTACCATAATACCACAACCACCTAAGATTCAAAATCTGTCAGTTAAAAGTAGTAATAGTAATAAACCAGTTACATCTGTTGGAAAACAAAGTTCAACTCAGTCAGCAAAGGCCAAAGTATGAAAATTTAAAATAGGTACTATACTATTTTCTTCAAAATATACATTTTTAAAACATCATCATATCATGATATAAGTAACCTAAATATTAAAATAATTTTTTTACAATGTATAAAGTGATTATTCAACTGTTATTTATTTTAGCGATAAAAATCTTATGCKTATTAAATTTAATTTGCTTTTCAATTTTTTAATAATTYGTTTATTTCAGTTAATTGTAACTATAAAAAAATACCTATTAGCTGATAAACTCTTATATACATTATACATTTGTTCGTGTAAATGWAAAGTAATATGAAGATATTTGATTTTTAGTTTTGAAGAACATGAACAACATCAAAGGTTGTTTGGTTTACCCTGTTTACTCAAGATGTTTTTAATTTTGTTAACATATTATCTGGTCACAAGAATGGCAGGTAACAATTCTATTCGAATTTAAGAATTTGCCAATTACAATTTTTATAAATATAATGAATATTATTATTGTTGATTTCAAAATTGTATTCTGTTTTTTGACCACGACAAACAGTGTGTAGACCTATATTTAATAATATATTACTAAAAGGTAATCTATGAATATACAATTTGTTATAAATATTACTAATTAGAAATAATTTTATATTAACGTTATTCCCCAGAATATTATGTATATTGTGTATCATCTATCCATGACTGTAAATAACAGTATGTTTATTTTCTCAGTGGAGGTGTATCTATTATTTTTGTATATCAAACAATCAATTACACACTTTATTTAAGTTGTTCCCATCCTTTATTTATTTTATAATTATTAATTTTTTTTTTTTTTTTACTTATCTGAAAGCACTTGTACTGTTTATATATTTATATATAAACGTATTAAAACAATATTCTAACAATTAAATACTAGTTTAGATCAGTGTATAATATGCCAATGTTATTATTGTACCATATTGGGTGTACATTAAAAATATAGAACAATTCTATATTTCTGTACTATAAACATTTATTTTTAATTGTTTCTTTTATTCAGACTAATCAGACTGATGGAATAATAAGTTATTAAAGTTAGTAATAACTTTAAAAAAAATACAATTATTATACTTTGGAGATTATTATTATTATTATTATTATTATTATTTTTTATACCTCCTACTAATAAATGTCTGAAATAGTGTGAAAACAATGTTTATATTTATTGGTGATTTATAGTTTATGCTGTTTTTGACATTTAAGTCTAAATATTTCTTTTAATTATAAAATGAAAACTAAAGATAAATTGTTATGGTCTTGTGATATAAATATAATTTTTATTTATTCAAACAAATGATAAGATAAGCTTATCAAGTTTTTTTTAAGCAGTATACTAGTAGGTTTATTTATTCTACATTTTTGAAGTTAAAAATTATAAAGATATGAGCACAAACTTTGAAATTTAAAAAGTTGGGAAGTCACTMTGCTGGTGGTTATTACTGTAATTTATATATATATTTATAACCAAATTAATATATATTAAATTTAATTCAATGGTAAATTTTCATAAATAATAGAAATTTAAATTCTTAAAATAAATTACTATATTTAACCCTTTAGTTGATGTTAATGCTTTATTGTATTCCTTTAAAATAGATTTGGYACCTGATTTATCCATTAAAATTTGACTGAACTGTTGAAGAGTTAATCATTTTTGTAATGCAATATGGCATTAGAATTGTATTGAAATATGGTATTTATATATATATAAAAAATTGCATTTGTGAATGTCAGTGTGTATGAAATTATATAATAATATAATTTAAAAGTTTCAAGTAACCAGGATTAGTTAAGTTAGGATAAAATTAAATAAGTTTTAAAATTTTAAAATTTTAATTTTTAATTAATTATAAAGTATAAAAAATGGAAACAACTCAAAACGAGTWGGAATGTTTTAAATTGTGACAATTATTTCTATTATTTATCATGAACACAAAAAGTAAGCAGGTAAGTAGATAACACAGCTRTACATTTCTAAATTATTATAGTACTAATAGGTACTTGTACTGTAGAAGGTTAAATTAATTTTTATCGAAAATATTGCATTTGTAAAAATATAATGACATGCCTAATTTAAATGTTCCAAGTACCCACCTAAATATTTTTTATTTACAACAAAATAACTAAAATCATTATTTTTGGTTTAATCGTGTTATTTCGCCCAAATTTGAACTTAAAATTACAGAAAAAAACTATTTAAAAAATGTATGGCTACAAAATTAACTACTTAAAAACTTTATTTAAAATTTCAATCTTCAGCTAATGAAGATGAACATATTTTTAATTTTTCACTACTCGGTAATTTCTAAATTTTGAATGTTATGGTCAGGTGTCACGTCATCCAATATGTTAATTGAAAAATAAGTACGCCATTGCACCAAATACATTCATTTTCTTTCCCATCGGAAAAGATACTCATGTTGAATACCATAGTATTATTTTGACTATATTTATCGTACCATTTGTATCTAATATAGTAATATCTATATACTCAATAAAAAAAACCAACACATGCATATACTGCACGCATATTGTAAAATCAATAATGTATTTTTTATATTTATATATTCATCGCAAATTCTCTCAAATTAATTTTAATACGAAAAATTTCTTTTGCGAAGTCTTGAAAAATTATGATTACGGAATTACTAAAGTCTGTGGTTGGCCGTTGACGTAAACTACTCTTCAACGTTGTCAGTTGTCATACAGTATGACTCATACTGTAGTGTAACATAATATATMAGTTGGATTAGCAATCAATACAATATTCAAATTCAAAACATTATTTTAATGTTGTACAATAGTGTAGTACACATATTARCATACGAGTATACCTACACACTGCGTATCTGCATGTAATACCAAAAATATRCTTGATATTTTCACTAAATTGTTATACTCCCATTTTCTCTAAGTATAGGACATTTACATAGTTTGACGCTTTTTTCCTAGTMGTTCTWTWCTCTCTGACCAGCGTAGATTGTATTGTCCGATCTCCAATAGATACGTCATGTACTCATGTGTAATACATGTTATACGTTATAAGTGTTATGACTGATATTTTACATAAAATTGTATTGTATGGCGTACATATATTTGGATCAATTTCTTGAATATAAATAAATTTAAGAGTCGAGAGTCCTCCGAATCTCTCGAGGAAGGTATAATAGCATCATTTTAATATTTTTACCTATGTAGTATATACTATATGTCTATATAATACAGTTTTATTGGTACTTGTATAGTATTATTATTGCAGTTTTCACCATTAGTTGGAAAACAATATTATTTTAATAAATATAATATAATAATCGAGTTAATCATTTGATTGGTTGACGAAATTTAATAAGAAATTATTTTCTTGGCTTGGTGACGACATTTTATTGATGATTGATGAGTGTATTCATTGTTGTAACTATACTATAGGTAATACTGTATTCGTATTGTTTGCGTAACTATAGATGTACTGGACAGTGGATGGACAGACACAACGGGAATATAATATAACCTTAAGGTTCTAAACTGATGTTTARTAACCTCAAACTAGCTAATAAAAATTTTAAATAAAGAACAAATATAATTGAAAACTCATCGTTAGTCATCATCTTTAGCTATTTTGATTAGTGTATTGCTATTTTTTTTTTTTTCTAAGAATGATATGTGATGATTGTAAGTTGTACTGTACTGCATATGAATTTRATGTATTCACTGCGTATATCTTTATATTAACTCTAAAAAGAAGTAACCACATTTATTAAAAAAAACATTTTTATAAAAATATACTTCTGCTTCTATAATATCTTAAACACCAATTGTTTTGATTACTGCTTTGTACCATTTCATTATTTCAATGAAAAAATCATAAACACGGATATCTTTGATATAAAAAAATATAACAAATATCAATGGATTTATCTTATTGACGTAATATATCATCTATGGCGAATAGCGATTTTCAGAGTTGCAGAAGACGCAGTCGATTTAAGATTATAAMATTTCAATCACTAAAGCAGACATGAGAGATGAGACATGAACAAAAAACATACTGCATTCCTATTTTCAGACTTAAGTTCAGTATCAGAAGAGTTGGCGTAAGCATCACAGTGCACGCACGTCATGGATTTCACTGAAAGAGTCGATGTTTTAAAAGTAAGTTTGTTTTCATATGCTTCTGGAGATAAAAGCATACATTTATTTTTTTAATAGAATAAAATATAAATATTTAATGTCACTAAGAATGTGCTATCCAAGTGTCGTAACGCATAGGTATTTAATTTCCTAGTGCAAATGTATAACGTATAAGATACGCCGTAAAAGAAAACTTAGATTACATTTTCAAGGTTTTTGACAGAAAACATTTTTTATCAATATTTTTCGAGTGTAAACTACACAAATTCTGAAATACTTATTACTATTAGGTGCACATTGTTAAGATAATTTTGTAAATAATTCTACTTCTTGATGTATAACTTAGGTATGGGTGATGGCTGCTCACTGACTTCATATTATATGGCTTTCATCATCAACTCTCATTATCTCGATGATTAATTATTTTTTTTTTACTTCGGATTTTTACCAAATTATTAATTTTATTATTTCGGCTACATTAATATACCAATGAACTTCAAATAAAAA